CTATATATATATATAGTGAGAGAGAAAGACATATCTCGGTGTGGTAAACCTTTGCGAAATTTATTTTACAACCTCGTGGTGTAATTCAAATCCACTTGCTTGTACGTTTTTTGTAAGTTAATCTACAAAGCTATTAAACCTTAATGCCTCAACCTTCGTTCTTCATTTCTTTGGTTAATGAGAACCATTATTCGCAGATTTCTCAAGTTGTGCCAATTGGCCTGAAACTTAAATGCTATATAACCCATAAGATAAAATCTAGTAAGGACAAAACTCGGTAATGAATAAATAACAGTAATTACGTAATTGTACTACAATTTGAACTTGCAATACGTAACTGAGAAATCAGAAAATTTCCACTTTCTGCTCATAATTCCATCGTTTTTTTGTCGTACTTTGCACCTGCAATGCTTAACAAAGAAATTATAACATTTCCTCTCCTTGGCTACTGTTGTGTCGTTTTGTTTAAATATAAATTTTACTCTGTTTAAAACAGAATTTAATTTAGTTTTGGTAGAAATATCTACATTTTTTATCATCTTTGCCTATATCATCCTTAGCTATATTGGTTAAGAATTTGATTTGATTTTGAATCATATTTTTGTTGGGATCCTCACTTATCCGGTAAAACCTTTTTTATAAACTAATATTTATAAGATGGTCAAAACAGAAAGTGTATATGCTAGAAATCTCATAGATTGTGCTTCTTTGTTAATTGTCTTATACTGCATGTTTTTAATCACTAAAACAAATTACAGTGTGTTATAATAGAGCAGCTGGCGTAGAATTACTGCCAAACGTAAAATTACGTTAGTAAACATAATAACTAAACAAACAGCAATTTCGGCGTAAGGTGTTACTCAATAGTACACTAATACGTGAAAGTATGAAGTGTATAATTCTGTTATCATAACAGCTTTCATCAACAGGTGTTCATAACAGCTTTAATATTTCTATTACGGTTTTCTAAATTGATCTCGATTGTTTGTAAAGACTGTTTTTGACAGAAATGTTTCATACTTTGGACGATGTGACCAAATATTGCTTCTCCCACATATACTTAAACGCGGCATGATATTGTTTTTTGTTTTCACCTCACTGACCACTGCTATAGGATTTTCGTACTGTTATTATGCATGTTTTCTCGACAGCCGTCTATCAAAAAACTTTCAAAGTAATGTGTAACATTAAAGTAAATGCTAACTTCGCGTTTGTTTAATCATTCAATTATATCCACAATAAATTGGTCAAAATAAATAATAATAATAGTACATTTCTTAAATATTGTATATATAACTGTTCTATAGGTCTTCTAGAAGTTTCATAATCCAATATGAACTTAAACTGAACTGAGAAAGTGACATTACTCGCAATGGTATTCCTTAGAAGACCAGTGATGCAGTTTTATGTACCGTTAAACTTTGAACCACAAAAATCAAATATGTAATCCTTTGTGTTTTCAGATTGGGTAGAGAACCATTTCCTTACCTTTATTGGTATATTAATTTTCAAAGTATCCATACCACCATAAAGCAGATAGTTTTATCTTAACACATAGCAAACTCTTATGAACAGCACAGAGGTGAACATATATATATATCCATACCACCAAGGTGCTAATAATTTTATCTTAAGATATAGCAAGGCCTTATTTACAGCATCGAGGTGAAATGTATAGCCGTAGATAAGATGATAATAATTTTATCTTAAAACATAACACAGCCTCATGTACAGCTTAGAGGTGAAATATATATCCATACCCAAGATGCTAATGATTTTATCTTAAAACATACGAAGGCCTTATGTACAGCAAAGAGGTAGATATTTCAAGCATGTTCAAAAGGCATCTCAGTGTCGTATTTACAACCTTGTTTATTTGTATATTGAATTAAGAAGGATGTTTAAATACTTAATTGGCTTTTATATTTAGGTACAGCACTACATTTTTGTTGTCCAAGCCCAGGATTCTGGACATCCCAGTTTGTCCAGTACTGTCACTGTCTATTTCAACGTACTGGACCTGAACGATAACGCACCGTTGTTTAACCCCATGAGTTACAGTGACGAAGTGTATGAAAATGTAACGGTTGGCTCGAGCATTATCACCGTCAGTGCTACCGATCTGGATTCTGGTAAGTCTTTAATTATTAGGTAGAGCCTGATTGAAAGCATTTTACAACTTACTGTTTTTTTATTATTATTATTATTATTATTCTTTCCTAACATATTCAAAAGTTCCAATTTTCCAAAACCCTTCATTTTAATCCTTCAAACAGAATGGGATTTTGACCTTATCTGTCATCACGAGTGGATAACCAGTATTCAAATTTCAGTCAGTCTTTGTTTACTTTATAACTTCCCAGAGAAGCATTCCGATTGTAGACGATCAGTTGATAAAATGCTACCGAACGATGTCCTAACGTCAGGTTACATACGTTAGAGAAAAATAAAATAGATTTAGCGGCTTAAAGAATTTTTCTGATTATACCAAATAAATGTTTTATCGGAACAGCTTGAGTATATATATATATAGTTGACAGACTAGAGAGAAGGCAGCTAGTTAACACCACCTACCGCCAATTCTTTGGCTACATTTGTCTGACCGAATAGTAGAATATAACCGTTACCATTATAATGCACCCGCTACTTCAGCATGTGCAACCTAACGCGAACGACCCGAATTTCCACAGTCTGGCACACTAACCATGGAACCGCAGTCGACCCTACGGTGTGAAACATTACTATGTAAAAGCGTAAGGCTATAATCGTTTTGACATAAACATAATCAAAGTTTATAAAATATTAGAGACTTTGATTGGCAAGTTCATAATTATTTTCTAATAACATAAGTTGTTTATTTAAGCTACTTTTTATTGCTTTCTGAAAAAAGAAAAAAAATCTTTGTTTAAACTAACTATCTAGGTATAGTAATATTATATCTGTTTAAACTAACTATCTAAGTATAGTAACATTATATTTGTTTAAGCTAACTGTCTAGGTATAGTAATATTATATCATTCCTGCTACTGCTCAGCAATTTTCAACAATAAGTATATTTTTTTGGTTGCACGCGATGTACATGTTATTGTTGTGTTGTTTTTCTTTCCCAATTGATATAGTTTTCCAGAGGGTGAGTATTATGGACTTACAGCGCTAAAAATGTGGGGCTTAATCCCCCCGAAGTAGAAAGAGTGCAAATAGCCAGCCCATTTTGTAGCTTTGCACTAAAACAATAACAACAACTAATATAGCTGAATTTTAGACTAGTTTATTGTTGCACGTTCTGATAAATAATGTTCTCTACTTGGCCGAGCATGGCCGAATTGTTAGCGTGCTGGACTATGGATCTGTAGGTTCCACGTTGTGTCCCCTTAACTCATCCCCCAAAATAAATCGCGCTCCGCATTTGAGGCTTGGGTGCGTGACTGTTAAATCCCTGTATTCGATATGAGATGAGTAATCCAAGAGTTGGCCTTCCTATCAGTTCCAAATTAGGAACAGCTAGCTTAGGTAGCTCTTGTGTAGATTTGTGTAAATATCGAAAACAAACAAGTTCTTCATTATGTTAGAATTTGTATCGTGTAACATACCGTACAATGTGATGATCTTTTAAGTAACCAGTATATTTGTGCCAAAGTATATTAAAATTTTTATTGAGCTATTGCTAACAAAAATAATGAACCACTGTTTTTCGCATGTTAGCTTTTCATAAATTTAACACATGACATTTAGTAGTTTTCCTGAAACCCCAGGTGTGTCAGAAAGAAAATTGCAATGTAAAGTAAATCAAAAAAAATTTAGGCGTCAAAAATCGTATATTAAAATCTAAAATAGGACAACTAATATTTACTATTTCTAGAGTAATATATGTCACTTTTGTGTAGTTAACGCTAGCAGATTTGTTGACATATTTATTCTATCACTTTTAGGGCCAAATGGAGACATTGTATTTAGTATTGTAGAAGGAGACGAAAATCATTATTTTGATATATCTCCAAACGGAACCATTTTCACTGTCAAACCATTGGATCGGGAGACTCAGTCTCTGTATAATTTAATAATAAGCGCTAATGACCAGGCCTGGCCAGTGGAGAGACAGTTATCCAGTACTGTACAGGTAACAATCATAATGAAAGACATCAACGACATGTCACCAGAGTTCGTCTCCCCGAATAGAACGTCAGTTTTGGAAAACGCGCCAATCAATACAGTTATTATGGCAGTGAAAGCCGTCGACAAAGACGAGGGCCGCAATAGTTATGTCGAGTATAATCTCCTTCCGGTGCCAGAGAATAAGTTTACTCTCGGTCCGGTAGACGGACTTCTTCGGATTAATGGTCCGATAGATAGGGAGGTCAAGTCACAATATAAAATCCAAGTGGTGGCTAATGACCGAGGAAGTCCTCCAAGATCAGCACTTGTAGATATTGTAATTGATATTATCGACGAAAATGATAATAGTCCCTCCTTCGACCCTAAGCAGTACAGCGCTTCGGTATCGGAAAATGCAAGTATAGGTCTGAGTGTAGTAGAAGTGTCAGCTACTGATCAAGATCAAAGTTTGAGTGGTCAGGTCCGTTACTCTATCGTTTCTGGTGACTCCAATCACGACTTCGTTATAGGTGAAGATACAGGTATCATCCGAATCAGCAAGAATTTGGATTATGAGCGTAAAAACCGCTACATATTGACCGTCCAAGCAGAAGATAATGGCGGTGATATCCGATATGACACGGCTACTGTGACGATAGGGGTGACAGACGTTAATGACAATCCCCCAACTTTTTTGAATTCTCCTTATGAGGTACACGTTATGGAGAACATGAATTACGTCCCGCTTCCCATCGTTACCACTGTAGCCCAAGACGCCGACCAGCTACCCAACACCCACGTACATTACCTCATCAAGGACGGAAACAAAAAGCTTTTTAACATCAACTCTACCTCGGGTGAAATATCTGTGATGAATAAATTGGACAGAGAAGAACAGTCAGAGTACGTTCTGACTATACTCGCCATGGACTCAGGTAATTTTATTTTCCACGAGTTTTTCTGACTAATTATGACTTTTCATTACTATTTATTATTGTACTGGCTTTGGTTTGTAGTACTTTATGTTTTACCGCGCTTTTTCTATTAAGCTATGATTATCTATTGTATTTGAAGTAAAAGTGTTTTCTGAGTGACCTACAGTAATTTCACAAAACTGTTGCTCCGATATTGACTTATTCAATTTTCAGATATCCGCAGAGAAATAAGCTTTAATAATGATTTGTTTTCTTATTCTAGTAAACTTACACACAGTTGTTTTTTAATACACGTTCGCTAAAACGTATAAGGAGAACATACCTTGAAGGTGAACACTCTCCTTGGACAGACGGGTTGATGCCCAAGATACTTATATAATTATCCTTCTATCTACCCATTCGCTGGAGGAGGACGTCGTCAATCAACGATGGGTGTATCAAGGAATGTCTGTGTTTGCAGCTTTTAACTTCAGACTAGACATCCATTTCTATATGGAGTTGAATACAGACAAAGTTTTATTTCTTGCCCCAAGACCCCTCTGGACTCTTAAGTACACGGTGTAAGGCCACGAATACGAGACACGAATTAGTGAAAATCTTGTTAACTATGCGCTACCTCTAACGTATTGGCTTTGGTAGGTGATATGTCAGATACTCTGTTGTTTAATATCTTTTGCTTTACCCACCAAACAAGAGCTATATAAACGGCCTCGAGGGACAAGATTGTGTTAGTATATACCTGTACAATCTAAACAGTGATGAACATCGGTAATAAATCTTCAACCAGCTGGCTTTTTTCAAACAATATATCTGGAGCCCATCGAATAGAGAATCTAACTGTTTTTATATAGTATAACAATACGATAAAACTAAATTATACCGCCATTTCAAGTAAGTTGAAATTTTTCTTAATACAAATTACATGCTTAGACTGAAACACTATATTAAATAATTTTTAACACAAAGCAAGACAGCCGAATCTTAGGCTATAACCACGATACAAAGTTATTAACAATACTAAACTTGGTCTGGATTAGATCAGGGACACGACGTGATAAAAAATGTGGTTGTGTAATATAACGTAATCAATCCTAAACAACATGTACATAAGCCCCTCAATTTCTTTCCTACATTTAGAGAAGCAGCAACATAAAAGTATAGATGTGAGTTTTTTGTTGTTTTTTTTTAGTTTTTGTTGTTGTTGTTGCTGTTGTTCTTTAATAATAAAATTGCTACATAAAGGACCATTTTATTTTTCACGAAACTCTGAGTGGATGTGGAGTCTATAATTGAAATGGGGGAAAATATAACCTTTGAGTGAAACTTAAATTTATGCAATAGTTATAATGGATAAAGGATGTGTATATGTGTGTGTGTGTGTGGTGAACTAAAGAACATGTTCAGGAAATTTTACATCGTAATATGATTTTGTAATCTGTAAGATGAGTAATTCTAGGTAAAATATATGTGTAAGAGTGAATAACATTCGATTATTAATAAGAGCTTCTCAGTCAAAGTAAAGTGTTTGAAAGGCTATTTATATCAGCAAATTGCCTCACAACAACTGTTAAAGTATAAACTAGATTAAATTGGCGAGGTGTAATTGTTCGTGAATTTTATTTATTTAGGGTAAGGATTTTTAACACTGTAATATGTGTTTGTTAATTTATTTTAATATCAGATATTATTTATTATTATTTTCTTGAATTAATCTGGTCATTATTCTTCTGAAAACCATCAATCTAGTGCGAAGCAAGCGATCACTCCGTCAACGGGGGGAAGAATATATTAGTAATTATTAATAAGAACTTCTTAGCGAAAGTAAAGAAGAATATATATATAGGAACATGGCAACCCAATTATTTCTGCAATATCCTCAATACCAAGGCTCTTTGTACTGCCTGGTATATAACAGACATAGTAGTGGTCAAGATGCATTTATAATTGGCAAATTATTTAACAACAATCTGTTTCAATGTGAAATGGATTAATTTGATGAAGCGTAATTTCTCGCATAAACTTAAGTGTCAAAATTTATAAAATTACGTCATAATAGTTACGAAAGTAAACCAAAAGAGTAATTAATTTGTTTGTTGAATTTCGCTCAAAGATTCTCAAGAGCTGTCTCTGCTAGCCGTCCCTAATTTTGAAGTGATAGACTAGAAGGAAGGCAGCTAGTCAACACCACACACTGCCAACTGTTCTTGGGATACCTTTTACCAACGAGTAGTGAGATTGACCGGTTGAAAGGACAGGCATGTTCGGTGACGGGATCCGAACGCGCGACTTTCAGATCGCGAGTTGAGCAAATAACCACCAGACCAAGACTAATCAACAATTGAAACAAAGAGAATTTATTATCAGAATATCATTTGTATACTAAACGAGATATAATGCGAATATAAAATATGCAACTTAACATGTTCATTTTTTCCCAATTCTATAGTCGTTTTCTAACTTTCCAGCATTCTCTTGCAATATTAATAATTATATATGATAAGCAAATATTGTGAATGCCATTTTACATACTATAGAAAACTGACTTGAAAAGCCTTCCAGTGGCACAACGGTAAGTCTGAAAGTTTACGACGCTAAAAACTGAGTTTCGATATCCCTGGTGGGCTTGTTTGTTTGTTTGTTTTTAATTATGCACAAAGCTACACAAGGGCTATCTGTGCTCTGCCCACCACGGGTATCGAAAACCGGTTTCTAGCGTTGTAAGTCCGCAGACATCCCGCTGTGCTACTAGGGGCCCTGGTGGGCACAGCACAGATTGTGTAGTTTTGTGCTTTATAGCAAACGAACTGATTTGAAATAGCGAACAAAATTGGTTTCTTTATCATTTAGCCCTAGAAAATATATTATTTTTCATTTTTGTCCTCTTAAAAAAGGACGAATTCCATTAACATTTTAATCCAAGTAAGGTTGGAATATGTATTCACAGAATTTGCATTTGTTTAATTAATATAATATGGTCCTATCTAAGCTATCTCGACTATTATTATTAAGAATTAAATGTTAGAAATGAAATGTATAGTGAATGATTATTTGTGTTAAGTATGGATTAATTCAAAAGATAAATCACGATTTATTTTATCAAATCAAGTGTTATATATCGTTGCTATTTAATTTTAGTAATTAATGCATCAATTGAGACTGCATAAGACAGATGGAGCCACAAGCCAACACAAATAAAATTACCTAAGATACAAAATTTACATACAAGAAAAAGTAACGAAATTAACGAAAATAATTATCTTCCTGCTGGAAGTACGTGTGTATGTCATAAACATTTTCAGGTTCGAGTAAGATGTTAAGGAATCATGAATATGTCTTTAATTGTATCACAAACAAGTTCATAACGCAATATGACCACAATTACGAAGCACGATGTTTGATTAAATATGTCATTGGATTTTCAACTTGCTACAACTCGTTCTTTTCTTTTTTTTCTCAGGCTTTGTATTGTTTACGTAATCGTATTGCTTACACAGTTTTGTTTTATTTTGTTAAACAAAAACATATTATAGTTTCCTGTCTTCAATCCTTATGTGTCACAATTAGAACATTTAACTATTTAAATTATAGCTTAATTGTTACTTTGTTCAAAAGTTGTCAACAGCTATCCACACCACATAAAGTTACACTTCTGGTGAAAGTTTAATATATTACACAAAACTTTCTTATGTGAAGAGATATTTTCGGCAATAGAACTGTATCTGGTCCGGGTCCTTTCTAAACGAGTATATATATTTATCATATGGCTAAAGGGTAAAACACAACTCGTCTCTACAAAGGATATTACTCCAGATGTAGATAACGCAGTGTATTTGTTCTTGGAACCATTACAAGCAAGTTGTTTCATACCTTGATGTGAGTGAAATGTCCTTTATTGGGCATACAGGCCGTCATTGTGAAGTCTGTTTCTAATCGTCGTTACACCTACACTGCGTCCATACATTTTATTCATTCTCGGAGCAGGTACATGAGGATTGAGGTGAGCCAGAATCGACCGTTTGTTTGTGTTGTGGATAATTGTATACCTATTCCAGATATATAAGCAACTGTGCTATTGGTTATGGAGCGATTCCACATTTTTGTTATGACACATTCAGACACGTGTAGTCAATTTACGACAGCTTGCTGTGATAGTTTGACTTCTATTTGTCTGATAGCTCAACACATGAACGAAACATGCAGATGTCTGTTTTGAAGCCTAGCATATAGTTGAAGAATAATTTATACTCTGTAATTCGTTTAAAAGAGATAACAGAGAAAACAATTGTACGACACCACTACATATAGCATAGGTTGAATAATTCACCTTTAGCATTTTAACTCATATTAACCGACGATCAAATGTTTGATTTATAACAATGAAATAACGGATGTGATTAGCAGCGGTGTTTGCCTAGTATAGCTATATTACAAATTCCAATTATTTTTTAACTGTTCTATCTAGTGTATCACTGTTCCACTGCTTAATTAAGACAATGTTCGAATTACTGTTAGACTCTTATAGACTCGTTTTCCAATTTACAATCGGGCAAATTTCCATCGGACCAGTTTGCCAACTGAAGGTTGGTGTATAAATAAATGACACTAATAATGCGATAATAGAAATGTTTGTGAAATAGCAACGTTTAGTTATGTGATGATATTGTTTAAACGTTGTTTGCTTGAGGAAAAACAATTTATTGCAGCTAAGAATCAATATTGTTTCCTATTTCAATAATAATATGAATATTTCTAAATTTTCATTATTTGGTGACCAATGAATCTTTAGCTAAGAAGATTAGATTATCATAAGGTTAACAACTATATTCCAAGCGTTGGACAATAGTTTGCTTACATCTTGCAGAAATGTTATGTGAATAATTTTAGAAAAGGGAAAATAAAAATAAAAGATTTTAAAAATTAATCAAATGTGGTATTATATCAAATTCACTCTTCCCCCCCCCCCCCATTCCTATCAACTTGTTGCATGAATGAAGCCACCATGAGTGTTTTGGTGACACTGGTTTGACATGTTTTTTTGTGGGAAACACTAATAAAACGCCATTCAGGAGAATAAAAATATCTGCTGATAACATTATCTTGAAGATTTTTTTGTGTCTTTTTTTTTTCTAGTATAATGATTTGGCGCTTAATCAAATGTTTAAATTGAAATAACTCTAGCTCTCAACGGTTTTTACTGAAGTCAGAAGTACGCCCAAAAATGTTGTTCAAAGGTTAGACAGTAGATCTTTAGTCATTTGAGAAACAAAAGCTATAACTTTCTGTTCTGTTCTTTTTCATGACTTATTATTCTTTTTAGGCCGGGATCCTTTATCTCGCATTCATACCTTATTTCATTTATAAAATCTAATAGGTTAAGTTAAAGAAATTGCTGTTTATTTATGAAGTAAATGTGTAACTCAAAGAAAAACAGAAAATTAAAATGCTAAACTGCATGGCTCTTTTACAAGAGTTTATTTTATCTTATCTTCAAAATTCTAAATACATATATTAAATACATATTCATTTATAAATGTTGCTAAGATACACACCTGTATTTTATATATTACCTGCTTAAACCTAAACACTACTTAATATGGTTGGTTAAACTTACTGCTATGGTATTGAAGAAAGAGAGCAGCTTTAAATAGGAAATGTGTCTCTTTCTGCAGTGAAACAGAATATTCCATTCCGTTTTAGACGTTTTCCAAAAACCCAATTGTGTGTAGAAAGTTCACAGCATATCTTATTCCAAGACACTAACTCTTCTTGTTTATTTTTTTTATATTTCGTAAGTTTTTTAAAAGTACTGAAAACCGAATTCATAAATAGGTTTGAATTTACATAAATTATAGAAATGTGCATTCAATGAACCATCATTAATATTTACTTAATTATTTGAATCTTTGATATTTATTTTAAGAATGTTGGTACTAATGGTGATATTGTTTTGTTTTTCTGTATTTTCGCATTTAAGATGTTGGTGCAAAATCTTTGCGCTTAGTCATTTATGGTAAATGATGGTGATTTACTATACAACATTATGCTAATTCTGAATTCATTATTATGCCATTCGAATTCATTTTGGATAATATATGTGTGGCCGATTATTAAATATATGAAATATTTATATATTAAATATTTGCAATATTCAATATTACTTGTTGACACTCTGGTAATTTCATTATAGAGAAGGTAAACTAACGTGTACTTTCATTCAAATCGATTTGCTTTGTTGACCATAAAATGATGTAATGACTCCAAATTGGTTCTCATATGAAAGGAAATACGGACTATTAACAATAACTCTTAGTCTTAGTTTTATGTGTCACATATATTCTTTTAAATAGAAATACGAAGCTAATGTGTTAGGGTCTTATTTAAATAACAGGGGAAAGATCTTTAACCCTTAACTTTCAGCAATATTTTATCAAGTAAAAAAGGAAAATTTCACCACAGAATACTATAAGCAACAAATGGTTTCGCTTCTTAAGCCTTCTTAGTAAGTGGGGGGATAAATGTAGTTTTTATATATAATTCACTTAGCTAGTTTGTAGTGTTATGTTACTTCGAATAGTACAGAAACCGAGACGCAGAGCGAGCTTGCTAATTTGTACTGGATTCTAATGGATAAGAGAGCGATACGGTAATTTGTATACGCTACAGGATTTTTAAGACCTCTGTCTAACAAATAACCAGGGTAGAACAAGCAAACTAAGACTAAACCCAGTTATCTTGCTGAACAAAGTTGTTTAATGTTGTAGTATATGCTAAACTGTTTTTCAACTACCTATATTTTTTTAGGTTATCTGTGCTTTAACGAAATAAAAATTATATATTTTGAGACAAAAGAACCACTTGCTAAGCAGGAGAAAAATCATATCTTGCCTTTTTACCCCCTCAGGGACTCCTCGCCAGACGGGTACAGGAACAGTGACCGTCGTGGTCAGTGACGTGAATGACAATGAACCTACGTTCGAGAAGAGTCATTATGCAGCAGACGTGAAGGAAAACTTGGCTGCTGGCACCCAGGTCATTTTAGTTACTGCCTCTGATAAAGACTCTGGAAACAACGGGCTTCTCAGGTTAACAGATCTATTCCATCTAAATCTCAAAATACATATTTTATCAATAAGTTAAAACTGCTCATCTAGCTGAGAAATGCAACATCTGAGGTAGATGATCTATTGAATTACTTCTTGATTTGTGATTTAAGTCATCCCGTCAATAAATTGTGCACAGTTGCAAAACGTATAAAAAGATCCGATACGCCTGTGTTGACACCATCTAGTTAACATAACAGGGATAGATAATTTTAAAGATTTTATGTACTGCCAAATGAATTTTATGTTACTCTCACCCAGCATATATTGTTATAGCATGTAATTTTTACTCCTTAAAATTTACATACACACACATAAACAGAAAAAAATGGATAGATTTTACAAGTTGATGAAGTACGAGACGCATAAAAAAAAAGTTAAACTATAAGAAATATGTAAGAAAACCTTCATCTTTCATGACAAATAGACTAAAGTTATAAAATACCCCTGAAAATACCTATGAAAAGTTCGTCTCGTACAACAATAGAAATATGTCTACCAAAGGTCTCCCGGTTTCCAAACCACGAATGCAATAAACCTAAGCCAGGTTACTTTCAGACCCACAAGTCCATGGTGAAAATTGAAAGCCTATAAGATATATATATGTGCTATATTAGTAACCATCTGTTAAAAAATAAATTCAAAAAGTGTACCATTTCCTTTGCAATAAAATCAAAACTATTAAACAGTAATCTTGGATAGTTGAATTGTAGGTATTTATCTTACAATGTGGAAATTAAGTGAAAATTCTAAAAGAGGCTACCTACGAGCCCCCCCCCCCCCCGTGGCACATCGGTATGTCTGCGGACCTATAACGCTAGAAACCGGGTTTCGATGGCCGTAGTGGGCAGAGCACAGATAGCCCATTGTGTAGCTTTGTACTTAACTTCAAACAAGCAATTATTAAGTTACCTACGAAGTGTATCACGATGATATTATGTCATTTTGATTTTATTGCTTACACACATACTTCTCAAACTAATGGCATTGAAAACATTTTCTAACTGGTAATTTTTCATTTAAAAAGATACGATATTTTAATTTAATTCATGATCCTTTGATCTACACATTTTAACTTCACATGAGCATCCAAATAAGGGAGTTATTTATTGTAACAGCGTTATAGGGTTTGTTAAGAAACTCTACCATGTTAGAAGCGATAAGTCTTCGGATTTACAACGCTCAAATCAAGGGTTCGATTCCCCTTGGTAAACCCAGCAGATAGCCAAATGTGGCTTCGCTATAAGAAAACACACAGAGAAGCAAACAGAAAGGCAATAATAGTGATATTGTTTACTGTATTGCTGTGTAATACGGTTAGAATATTTAGAATGATGTTTTCATTATATTATAGGCAATTTGTATTATGTTGTTTGATTTGTCACTAATACTAGAACAAAAAAGACATACAAATAACATTGGCCATGAAGTCATTTTCATTAGATATAATTATAGGTGAGCTAGATAGCTTCTAGGACCCTGATTCCAAATCTGTTTGTGGTTTTCCTCTAACACGTCAAGTTTTCGTGATGAGACCGATCAAATTTGAAAGATTATTGCCTGAATTATAATTTAAGTTGTTGTACCTTTCTTTTTTCACAAGTGTGTACTGTATAAGTTTAACCAAGTGTATGGTGTGTATAACGTTTATGGGAATTGTACTGAAAAATGAATAAAGTTGTAACGTTAACTAGCCTAATGTGTGATTATTACCTAAATTGTGCTAAAATTAACACCAGTCATATTTCGATAACCAGATGTGCTAGAAGAAAACCGAAAATATATTTGGAATCAGCGTGCAAAACAGGTGTAGAAACATGTATTTACATCTTTGGTGATAGAAAATAGTTCTATTTTGTCGACTAGTGTTATTTTAAAAAAAAACGTACATTATTGAAAATTGTTTTTATTTTGGACTGCTCATAACACTATTAATAACGGGCTTGTATTCTCAACCACAATAAAAAATAAATATATATATATAACCTTTATCGTCTCCGATATTTCCAGATATAGCTTAATCGGAGATCATCTAGATAAATTTACTGTTGATTCCAATACGGGAGCCATCTTCACCCGGGTTTCCTTAGACAGAGAGGAGTGTAACCAGTACGAGATGACATTGGTGGCTAAAGACAGTGGATTGACTACTGAACATTCCGCTAGTGTAAATATCACAATTCACGTGGGAGATGAGAATGACAACAAACCTATATTTGCGGAAGAACATTCGGTTGTCCATGTTCCCGATAGTTCAACAGGTGGTAAGTCTAATGCTCACATTTTTCTTATTTCTCAGAGGTTATGTTTTTGTTTTGTTTTTAGTATAATTTAGGTGTTATGTGTATGTAATTACTTTCTACACTGAACACCCATGTCTTTCTGAGAAATAAACATTGTTGCCTTGCATTAATATGATATGAAATGAAGAGGAGATATGTGATGGAAATAATTATGAAGTGCTTAGGTGACTTTCAGACTAAGCCTAGGCCTAACATGGCCTGGTGGTTAGGACACTCGACTCGCGATATGTGAGGCGCGAGTTCGAATCCCGTCGTCGAAGATGCTCGTCCATTCAGCTGTATAGGTGTTATAATGTGACGGGAAATCTCACTATTCGTTGGTAAAAGAGTAAGCCCTAGAGTTGGTGGTGGGTGTTGTATACTAAAAACCCTTCCTTCTAGTTTATCACTTCAAAATTAGAGACGGCTAGCGAAGATAGCCCTCGTGTAGCTTTGCACGAAACTCAACAGTACAAACAAACAAACTGACTAAGCCTGCTCCAAACATGCTTGCTCTTTCCAACAGTAAGGATATTATAATGTAACTGTCAATCCCGTTATTCGTTGGTAAAGAGTAGTCCAAGAGTTGACAGTAGCTGCTACCAGTTTCTTTCCTTCTGGTTGGCAGTTAAAAAAAAACCTTTCTGAGATTTTTGAGCTTTTATAACTTTTTGTAAACAAATTAAAATCGAAATAAGACTTTCTTTGTTTTGTTTTTGATATATCATGATCAAATTTCAGTAGCATTGTATTAATATGCAAACATTTAATCTGTTAGTTAATTACTATCAAAATGTTAGAAATGCAAGATTCTTGTGTAAATATAATGAAAATATTCAAACGATCAACGTTTTTCAGTACACAATTAAAAACAATTTTTCACACCATTGAGGATGACGTCATTCGACGTCGACACATGTAGAGTGTGTGTGTTTTAAGGCCGTTGATCAGTCTCAGAATAAAAGATTTTTCAATTGTGTACTGAAAAACGTTGATCGTTTGAGGATCTTAACTGTTAGTTAATTACTTAAATATAATTAATTGATCATACTTTTATTAGTTGTACTATAACATAACCTTTAAATGTTTTGCTGATTCTTATGACTTGTAGTGTAATTAACTCTTATTTGTATTACTTTCTAGGTCATTTCGTTTTTGGAGCTCAAGCTCATGATCTTGACACAGGTGTAAATAGCAGGTTAGTCTACCATTTGTCTGGGACAGATGCTGATAAGTTCCAAATCAATCAGGACACCGGAGTAGTCAAGCTAGTTCAGAAACTTATCCCCAAACAAGAAGGATACCATCTAGAGATTCATGCTACTGATAGCAGTCCATATCCTCTTTCAGCTAGTGCCAACGTCGAAGTATATCTTCAGCCCACAGATCTTTTTCCACACTTTCGATCAGGAATTCGTAGTTTTGTATTCTCAGAAATGGCCGAAAATCTAACAGTAACGACCGTTTCAGCGACATCTCCTAAATCTGGTGATAAAGGGCATATATCATATCACATTGCAGGTGGTAACGTTGGAAATGCCTTAACCGTCAACTCTCAGACTGGAGAAGTGCGAATAACCAGCGGCTTGGATTATGAAACGCTGCCTCAATACGAAGTGTGGGTGGAAGCAACAGACAGCGATTTTCCATCTCTCAGAACTGCCACTAAACTTGTTATACAGACTACAGATGCCAACGATAACGTGCCAAAGTTTACATCTGAAATTTTTAATGCTACTGTTATGGAAGAAAATGATCCTCCGCAGTTTGTTACTGTTGTTCAAGCACAAGATGCTGATCAGGGAAATAATGGAAATGTTTATTACAAGTTTCTTGAGTCAGAAAGTTCCGATAATTCTTTTACTTTGGATTCTCAGACAGGAGAGATCTTCACGAACGCCAAACTCAACAGAGAGTCCTTGGGGTTATATAATCTGGTCGTGGAGGCCATTGACCACGGCCTGCCTCAAAAAACAGGCACAACTACTGTGTTTGTGACAGTTTTAGATAAGAACGATAATCCTCCACGCTTTACGCGGCTCTTCAGTGTCAATGTCACCGAAAATGCGCCGCTGGGATCTTTTGTAATCCAGGTAACGTCGTCAGACAAGGACGTTAGTATAAATGCAAATGCTACATATAGCTTTACAGACAACCCGGGAGAGAAGTTCCATATTGATCCACTGTCAGGGAATGTCTCCGTCGCTGGCAGGTTGGACAGAGAACTTAGGGACGAATACATTTTAAAAGTTGCAGCCGTAGACGGCTCCTGGAGAGCAGAAACTCCACTCACCATTTCTGTCCAAGATGTTAATGACAATGCCCCCAAATTTACAGAAAACATTTATAACTTTAACTTTCCAGAACTCCAACATGCAATATCTTTCATTGGTCAAGTAACTGCTTCTGATCAAGATAAGCATGGACCTAACTCATTCATTACATATTCCTTAAAGAGACCATCCGATTTCTTCCGAATTGACCCTGGAACGGGTGAAATTTTTAGCAAGCAGGTATTATATTATAAACGCACATCGAGAGTTTCCATAGAAAATCAGTACACTCTGTATGTGATAGCTATAGACCAAGGAAAGCCTCCTTTGTCCACCCAAGTCACAGTATTAATAAATATTGTGGACTCTAACAATAATCCTCCCCTTTTTGAGAAACCTAATTATTTCTCTCCAATTCCGGAACTCATCGAAGTTGGTACTTCTGTCCTTCAGGTCAGGGCCAGAGACAACGAGGACGTTGGAGTGAATTCAGAAATTGAGTACTTCAAGGCAGGTGGGAATGGAACTGACTACTTTTACATTCACAAAACAACAGGTTGGTCTGAATCTAAACAAAATTATATAACATTTCTATAGTTTTGCTTTGTAATAATTGTAATTAAACATTTTCTTCAAAGTGTTCACATAACTTTCGAATTTTTGTTTCATATCATATTGATTTATTAGTTTAGGACCTGCTGTAAAACTGTAATTTTCATGGTTATAGCATGCGTCTCAATTAAGCATGTAGAGTTTTTAAAATATTTAACTTTTTAACCTCGGGTTTACGTGTAAGCATAACTGATATATGTAAAATGTAAAGACAGTGCTGTGTATTTAAAGTAATTAAAACAGTTAAGTGACTTGCCTAGACTAGTCACGTACGAGGTTACGTACGTTGAGTTTTGAACGAATCTGATGGCCGTGCGGGGCGTCTCAACTGCAAGGTTAAATCTAAGTGGGTTTTCACACCTATTTCACAATACGTGATACCCACCAAGCACCTCTAATACAAAAGACACTTTGAGCAAGATTAATCTTATCAAAAATGAAAAATCAATCGACTTTTCTAGTAAGACACACTGGATTTTGCGACGCTTTCCAAACCTGGGTATCGGAGGTAAGTATCAAAACTCAATAGGGTGACGATACCGGTATACTAATTTCAGATTACACCTGTTTCACCTTACCCAACGGTAACTTAAAATCGCGTTCAGATTACCGGGAGGTAGGATGATATCGATTTCAAATTACCCCTGGGGGTAGCATGAAGGTGATTTCAACCTACCCCCTACGATTTCAGATTACCTCCTCAAAACATTTAGTTATTTATATTTATTTAGATACTTATTTCAAGCATAAACACAAATAAACTGACAACAACAAATAATAATAATAATATTTATCATTAAACTGTCATTACCCCCGTAGTGCATGATGTACGATAAGTTATATTTCTCTGTAGATCAGAATTACATCAACTACATATGAAACATGCAATTCTTGCACATTAACTAAGTGTATGTAATACGTCATGCACTTTGAACTAGTGTATGGGTGGTTTTAATATAATTAACATTTTTGTGAATTTTTTTATTTTTCCAGATATTGAGACTAGCTTTCAATCTTGTATGTTTCACGTGTTTTATTCAATAAACTTATCATGAGCTGTAAGCATAAGAATTTATCATTCCAGCTAATCAGCGAGGGGGATAATCTGAACATTGCAGGGGTAATATGAAATCAGGTTCAGGCTACCCCCGGGGGTAATATGAAATCGATTTCAGATTACCGGGAGGTAACTTGAAAGGGGAGGTAGCTTGAAGTCTTTACACCGGTACTCTAAGTGTCTATAAACAAATGAAAAAATCTACACATAGAACCTTAGCACATAAACACTGCTTTCTGAGGTGGGTTTCTGAGGGATGACAAATCTATATCCTAAATACCCTTTTCTTTCCAATTCATAGTACTGTCTATCCATTCACCCCTACCTTACGCATGTGTTGATGTTGCCCGTACTTCCTTTCTCCTAATTTCATTGTTGCTTAGGTTAATGAAGTTTAAAAAGATTCCCACGCATACACGATGACCTTGTCTGTACTTCCTTAATCCTAATTTAGTTTTTGTATAGTTTAACTAATGAAGTTTAAAAAGCTTCCCACGTTCGCACACATATTACTGCTTTAATTATATGGATTTTCGGTTCTACTTTGTCAGGCAGTTTATATAAATTTGATTTAAATCAAAACGAATTAGAGTATACCGTCTATTATGAGAATTTAACTTTGATATTTTACTTAATATGTTTCAAGACTAACTGGTTTTCTAAATGTTTCTGCCTTAAGATAAGTTTATTGGCTTTCGAGGGCTTACTTACATAAATTCAATTTTTCAGGACATTATAGTCACAATTTCTTATATACTTCGTGAAACTAACAGATATATCCCCCGTTACTCGAAATACAAGAAAACTGGTATGTGAAAAATTAGATTACGAATAATTACAAATAAATACCCAATGCTGACAAACGTTACACGATTCAAACACCATGAAAAACAAAGAGTAAAAAATAAATAGTAAAAACAAAAAACCGACGTTTTCTGGCACAATGAAAGGTAAAATCCTTATTAGAGGTTGCAGCCTATACATTTCGGTAACTAGTAGGCTGCAACATATAATGAAGATTTTACCTTTCATTGTGCCAGAAA